GGCACGCGCACCATTGTGGTGTAGCGGGATCAGCAAAATCTGGGAGATTGCTGGATCCAACTTACCAACTGCGCCCAGACACCGACTAACGGAAGGGACCCCCCGATGATCCGTGTTCTGCTGAACTTTCCTCACCTTGGGTACCCGTCGGTAGGGCGGGATCTTGCTCTCTCGGTAACTTCCCAAGCGTTCAAGTGGTGAAGCTTGAGTGTCTTGGCGAGACGTGGGGATGGGTGGAGCAGCAGTGGTAATATCTTCACTCTGCGTCCGTGGTTGGTTCTGAATCCTAAGCGAATATTCGAGCTTATGGATCCAGGGCCTAGATCGTGGATCTGGCCGTAGGGTTGTCTTACGGGTGTGTTCCCTTGCCTTTGCGTTTCCTTTTGCGTCGTACTTGCCGCCTCCTGTGACGGGACCTTGAGAGTTGAGATCTTCTTGGGTATACCCGGCCAAGTAGTAAATCCGGTTAACCTGTCGAATCTGCACGTGTAAAAGGAAAAGCTCACTAGGTTGTAGGATCTGGCCAATGTATTATCCAGTTATCACTACCAACACTAGATTCGCAATTCCCAACCTCTCCGAGCTCGTACGGCCAATGTAGTTCCGATTCTTGAGGGCAGGAAGGCACTTGCGTGTTACTATGCAAATAGAAGATACTTAAGCCTATACCTGCCTGGATTTCCACCTTCTCTGTCTTTTACGTGCTAGATCCCTTACCAGGCTCGGCTGCATGTCCTTTTTCTCCTTGGCCCATCATCCCAGCTGTATTATCCTCAAATCCACCGGATCCATGGCGTAATCATTATAATCATCCTATTATGGGTACACTCATCCGGATCCAGGTCACTTGGATCCACCTCGCTGTAAGTGTACGCTCGTCATGGATCTGAGCTCTCCAATCATCCAACATCGTCTTGCGACCGTCTGTGATCTCAATTGTCCCACGTAAGTTCGAGATCCACTGCATCCACTGTCCCCATATCCTGGATCCAGGTCACTCCGGAGGGGATCCTCACCCCTTTGGATCCGGGATCAGAAGTATGGAATCTGGGACATCTCGCGGTGGATTTTGACTTCTCGTTTGTCGTGGGCACTAGATCCACCTTCAGATGACCCCCACCATCATTCCTTCATATGATCCACACTCGATCCACCCGTACATAGTATATCCCATATCCACCTAAGTGAAACGAGGTAAGGGTGGATCCTGGTGGATCTTGCCTTCCCGTACATCCCCCATACCAGATCCACCGTCGTCTCATACGGGGTACTGCTCGTCATGGCCAATCCATCTCAGGCAACTTGCATCCGCGCCGGACGATCCAAATCCTCCCTAATCACTTGATATTGTCACTGATTCGGGATAGTGACCCCTTGCTAGACCCACTCTCTTAATTCTGAGATAGCACTTCACCACATAATCATCGTTAAGAAGAACGGAGGGGTATACGTCTGTGTATTGATTACCGGATGGTTAACGGCCTGACCAGACTGATGGTGTACCCGATACCTCCTAATCAATGAGCTATTGGAAGATTTAAAAGTATTCTGGTACTGTTCTCTAGAACATGGCAAGTGGTGACTATGACGGATCGAGCTCGCGCAATATCCGCATTCATCGCACCATTTGGACTGTTCGAACGGAACCGGATGCCGTTTGAATTGAAGAATGTGCCCCAAATTTACCGGCGTCTGATTGATAATGCCCTCTACCGATTTACACGAATCCCTGAGCCCGAAAGAGGTGGATCTGGAGAAGGTGAAGCGGAACTAGATCCATTATAAGCAGGTAGAGCCAGGAGGTCCTGGTACTCCATCTGTGCTAGAGCGCAGATCTTATATCCACGACATTCTAATCCCGGCAGAATCGTGAGTCTGTTGTGCGAGAGAGTGACATCCCAACTGGAGGCGTGTTCTAAGTAGAAATCTCTCTATCAGCGGGTGCAGAGCTATTGGGGTTGTGCCAGGTGAATTATTTAGGTCTTCGAGTCTGCAAGGAGCATTGGAGGCGAATCCTAAAGACCTGGCTACGTTGGCAGACTTGGCACTGATAAAGGCGTTCGAAGACACCCGTCGTAAGGAGGAAGACCTGCCGGAGTTACGCCGCAGCACACGTTTGGAAGATGCAAACACCGCGGTGGATGGAGAGAAACTACTCTACTAAAAAGAAGAGTTGGAGCGGCTGGTTAATCGAGTCTAAAATGACTCCTAATCCAGTCTGCCAACACGTGTTCTGAGGAGCACTTTTTACTTTACATCGTGTATTTTTGGATTTTACTTTACGATTGCGACCCAACTACCCTTCAAGAAGAAAAACGGCAGTTCAAGTTGAGAAACAAGAGCGACAATGACCAGATGAGTCGCGGATGAAAAACAAAAGAAACATCAAAACTTTGAAAACGACACTATTTCTCCTACTCACTTCTGGACGGAACGGTTCTGGGCGCTACTAGCGAATCAAGGAGAAGATGAAGTCCTACGACTGAGTGGATTTCGCAGATTCCTTTGTCAGCGAAGTGGTCGTAGAGTGTATTTCAGACGAGTTCGACTTCTTCTGCGCGGACGGAGACAGGCGTCGAGCGCTTAGCTGGAAACCATGCCTTCTTCTTCGGCGAGGGTGAGCGCGACTGCGAATGCTTGCGAGTGCCCTCTTGTGACTCTTTAACTAGTGATCGCGTCGTTAAATCAGCTTCAGAACGCTTATAAAGGGTTGCTTTGTGCCCCTTCGCGAGCGGAGAAGATGAGCGGAGAAGATGATCGCGTCTTTGCGCGTCCTTACTGGCCTTCTTGACCGATGACTTAACCAGTGACTTCGATCACGAGACGGAGCGCTCCGATAAGCGAGCCAAACGAGACTTCTTACGCGCTGGTGACCTCAATCTCGACCGCGAGGATGAAACGGAACACTTGGGCGAAGTTACTCGTGCTTTGCGCTTACCTTTAGCGCGTGGGGGGGGGGGGGGCGGAGAACGCTTATGTGCGGAGCTGATGTTGGTCTACTTCGAAGGCGAATGACTACGCGAACGAGAACGGGAACGCTTCGCTTAATACAGAGTCAACTTTATATTATCGACGTATAGAACCGAGTTGTGTTTCTCAATAATATTTTTATCTCCGTTTAAAAAATTCATCGGTAAAATCGATTAAAATGCTCACTCGGGCCAACAATCTGCAATCTGCAATAGAAATTGTTAGAAGAGATCACGTTTTGGTCTCCAAACAATCCGTTTTCTATCTAAGCACCCTCATATGAACCCTACCCCTAATCGTAACCTGTTTGATCTAGGTTTTGCCGACGGAAATCGATTTTCATTTCTTGTTCGTACAGTAGTGTATGGAACCTTTAGGATCTGCAAGTAAATTATATTTGGCAAAAGGATCATTAAATTCGGAAGTTTAAACATGAACTTAAGTAAGTAAGTAAGTGTACCGGTACGTACTTAAGTTCATGTACAGTGGTTTTGGACAACAGCTGTCGAAAAGTGGGAACATTATAGAGTGCGCATTGTTCGCGCACTGTTCCGGCCCCAAAAGCACTGTAACTTTATTAATAATACAAGTACAGTACTGCACCCCGCTTTCGCAGGGGTGCACCACATCGGATTCGCAAAAAACTATACTTTAGCATACAAATCATTGCTCATTTTAGATTCTGGATCATTACATCCGGAAGTTTATCAAAGGTCCGAGGACGCGAAAACGGGGTGCAGTACTGTACCGGTACCGGTTACTTGAAGTAACCTGGCATTCCATGTACATGTACTTCGAGGTACAGAAATCTGCCTGAATAAGGAACGGGGTTTCAACTAATAACCTCGCAATTTTTATAGTCGGGAAAGATTTAGGGAGAGGGGATAGTGATGGGCAAGGTACTGACAAAACAATCCAGGCACTGACTTTGATTTCAATTTAAAAAATGGCGCGCAGTAGGTGATCCTCCTTCGCTTCAAGCCCTACGAGCCGAACTTCATTCCTACATTTACGTTCAATCTCACTAGCCGACTGCGTCCTCAGCACTCCCATGTCCTCCAATCGTCTCCGCCTTACTGGTCCGAGAAGGTAGCCATCCTCGAGAAGGCTGCTCGCTCACCTAGTCTGTCGTATAATGAGCTAGCTGAGTGGGCGGTTGAAGAGTTTGGGCTTCCAACGGCCCTTGGCAAAACGAAAATTTGCCATTTACTCAAATCAAGTGCTGTGCTGCGCGGACGGCCTGCGGAAAAGGCTGTACGCAAGAAGGCGCAAAGGTTGGTCTCTCTCTAAGCAACGTCCGTGTTAAGGGGATCATCAAAAGCATTAAACGCTACATCTTATCGCAAAAATGATGTTCGCATTGGATCGCCTAGGCGAAGGCCTCGACAACCTGTACAACGTCGACCAGCTAACTGCACTGCTCTGGTGCGAGGCTGCATGGTCTAAAGTTAGCGCTTCTACGATTCAGCACTGCATCTATCAATTTAACCTAATCAAATCCAATATATGCACATGATCCGAAATCATAGTCTGTTTTTAGCGGGGCATTGTCAGCTTATGCAGTCTCTTTCTTAATTTATATCAGGCGTTCCTTATTCAGGCAGATTTCTGTATCACTACTGTCAATAACAGTGCTTGAGTTACGACTCGTGAATCACGACGTGATGGCATCAATGACACTAATGTCCAGAGCTTCCGCCTTTTAACGGGTCCGTTCGATTGTGGTGACTCTGTGGTGTGTGAGATTTTATCGTGAAAAGCCAGGAAGTGGCCAGCGGCGCCTTCAATGTGCTCTGTCTGACCAGATTCCTGCGCCAAGCTCATCAAGACTTGCAGGCCACCAGTTTGCAGAACGAGGATCTGATTTCCCATACTGGAATCAAGCTGAAAAAAGTATCCTTGGCCAAGATATGTCGTTGCGTGCGTAGCCAGCCTTGATCAGGATCCTCACAATCTCTTTCCACGCAAAGAGAGCGAGTGCAACAGTAGAGAGAGGGGAAAGCTAAGCAAGCAGGTAACAGACCACAAGTATGGGCGGTACGGAGTCCAACGAGGTGGCCAAGGACGATGCGCGTCTGCAGCAGCAGACCAGGAAGTCCGCATCCAAGAAGCCCGAGGTCAAGCAGCCCAAGGCCAAGCAGCTCAAGGTCATGCAGTCTGAGGCCACCACGACGGCCAAGGCTGGCTCCACGACTGTGGTTTCGACGGCTGTGGATGGCACCACTACCTCGACCACGACCAGCGCTGATGGCTGCACCGTCACAACTGTCGTGACGCGGCCCGATGGCTCGAGTGAGACGACTACCGAGATCGTCACCTCCACAGAGACGGAGGTGGACGTGACGCAGGAGAAAAAAAGCCCCACGGCTGCTGCAGCGGCCCGCGCTGTGGCCGACTTTGAGAGTGTGAGTGAAGAGACGGCCTCGCAGAGTGTCACGGAGCTCGCCTGGCACGCGTGGAGCGCCAGTGCCACGGCAGCTGCCATGGGCGTCAAGGAGGCGACGGCGGAGACGCTGCGCGCCCTGAGTGATAACTCGGGCGTGTTCTTCACTAGCACCATCGTGGACCCTCAGGCCTGCACGCGTACTGACGTGGCCAGTCTGGAAGCTGGTAGAGAGTGGAAGAAGGAGGATTTTAAAAATCTGCTGCCTGCCTTCTTGACGTATGTGGCAAATCACGGTCGCCGCTTCGAGACGCTGACTGCGGTGGAGTTGTTCATTTTTGCTCGTGCATTTTGCCGTTTCCGAGTGTTAAAGCATCACGTTGATCAAGAAAAAGATAAACAAAAAAGTATGGCGGAGCGTGTGCTGGCCGTCGCCAGTCGCCGCTCTAAGGAGCGCAAACTGGCGTGGGAACTTACCCGCGCCTTCACGCTCTTCTACCCGGAGTTCCCTATCCGCTGCCGCGGTCTGCGCTTTAGCAGGACGAATGAGGTACTTATGGACGATGCTCCTGTAGAGAGTGAGTCATTGTTTGAGTTCATCTCAATCAATCGTCGTTTGTCCAAGTGGCTGAACAAAATTATCGTGATTTCGTTGTTGCGTGACGCGTCCGAAGACTCCACTTGTGCGAAAAATGTCATTGTGCTGCACGACGGAGAGGTCGTGCGCAGCGGTTCGTGGAGCGAGATCCTTAAATACGTGCAAGAGCTAGGTGTTCAATGTCCGCCACAGAAAGATGTGGCGATGTGTTTGAGTGACAAGAAGGCGACAGCGGCGCTCTTTGATCCGCTCGAAGAAACGGTCAGGTCCACAACGATCTTTAGACTTGCCGATGAAGTTGTTTTGCTCGCTGGATCGCCTATTGTCGAGGATCTAGCGGGAAGTGACAGCTATCTCGTGAATGTCGGCAACTTCAGTAAGATGCAAGCTGAGTCGTCGTCAGACGCTTCGGATAAGCCGAGGACGGGTGCCTTCATGTACAAATTCGACTCAGACGGCACTGTCTCCGACAGCGACGACGACGAAGGCTTTGATGCAGAAGAATGGCTGATGTCTTGGTTTCATCCAAAGGCTGAGAGTCCACCGCTTACGACGAAGGCCGCTGCTCGTAAACTTGTCACCAACTGGGCAGCCAACAAACGGCAAAAACCTTCCTCACCAAATGAGACAGCGAAGACAGAAGTGTTCCGCTCGGAGGAAGCCGACGGCAGCATTGTGACCAAGACCGTCCGCACGACCACGCGCACGGAGACGTCCCCCGCCGGCGAACTTGTGACGACGATCGAGGTGGAGACGATATCGGAGACGCAGACCAAGGGTGGCGCCAAGAGCACGACGGTGGAGACGGAAATCACGACGGAGACTGCCACCGAGATGGCCGCGACGACGTCGAGCCTTGCTTCGACGGCCGGTATGACTGCGATCAGCTCGACTGAGAAAGAGGGGCGATGCTCCCGGTGAGACTGTGAAGACGGAGGTGTTCCGCTCGGAGGAAGCCGACGGCAGCATCGTGACCAAGTACCGTCCGCACGATCACGCGCACGGAGACGTCTCTCGCCCGGCGAACTTGTGACGACGATCGAGGTGGAGACGACATCGGAGACGCAGACCAAGGGTGGCGCCAAGAGCACGACGGTGGAGACGGAAACCACGACGGAGACTGCCACCGAGATGGCCGCGACGACGTCGAGCCTTGCTTCGACGGCCGGTATGACTGCGATCAGCTCGACTGAGAAAGAGGGCGATGCTCCCGGTGAGACTGTGAAGACGGAGGTGTTCCGCTCGGAGGAAGTCGACGGCAGCATCGTGACCAAGACCGTCCGCACGACCACGCGCACGGAGACGTCCCCCGCCGGCGAACTTGTGACGACAATCGAGGTGGAGACGACAACGGAGACGCAGACCAAGGGTGGCGCCAAGAGCACGACGGTGGAGACGGAAACCACGACGGAGACTGCCACCGAGATGGCCGCGACGACGTCGAGCCTTGCTTCGACGGCCGGTATGACTGCGATCAGCTCGACTGAGAAAGAGGGCGATGCTCCCGGTGAGACTGTGAAGACGGAGGTGTTCCGCTCGAGGGAAGCCGACGGCAGCATCGTGACCAAGACCGTCCGCACGACCACGCGCACGGAGACGTCCCCCGCCGGCGAACTTGTGACGACGATCGAGGTGGAGACGACAACGGAGACGCAGACCAAGGGTGGCGCCAAGAGCACGACGGTGGAGACGGAAACCACGACGGAGACTGCCACCGAGATGGCCGCGATGACGTCGAGCCTTGCTTCGACGGCCGGTATGACTGCGATCAGCTCGACTGAGAAAGAGGGCGATGCTCCCGGTGAGACTGTGAAGACGGAGGTGTTCCGCTCGGAGGAAGCCGACGGCAGCATCGTGACCAAGACCGTCCGCACGACCACGCGCACGGAGACGTCCCCCGCCGGTGAACTTGTGACGACGATCGAGGTGGAGACGACATCGGAGACGCAGACCAAGGGTGGCGCCAAGAGCACGACGGTGGAGACGGAAACCACGACGGAGACTGCCACCGAGATGGCCGCGACGACGTCGAGCCTTGCTTCGACGGCCGGTATGACTGCGATCAGCTCGACTGAGAAAGAGGGCGATGCTCCCGGTGAGACTGTGAAGACGGAGGTGTTCCGCTCGGAGGAAGTCGACGGCAGCATCGTGACCAAGACCGTCCGCACGACCACGCGCACGGAGACGTCCCCCGCCGGCGAACTTGTGACGACAATCGAGGTGGAGACGACAACGGAGACGCAGACCAAGGGTGGCGCCAAGAGCACGACGGTGGAGACGGAAACCACGACGGAGACTGCCACCGAGATGGCCGCGACGACGTCGAGCCTTGCTTCGACGGCCGGTATGACTGCGATCAGCTCGACTGAGAAAGAGGGCGATGCTCCCGGTGAGACTGTGAAGACGGAGGTGTTCCGCTCGAGGGAAGCCGACGGCAGCATCGTGACCAAGACCGTCCGCACGACCACGCGCACGGAGACGTCCCCCGCCGGCGAACTTGTGACGACGATCGAGGTGGAGACGACAACGGAGACGCAGACCAAGGGTGGCGCCAAGAGCACGACGGTGGAGACGGAAACCACGACGGAGACTGCCACCGAGATGGCCGCGATGACGTCGAGCCTTGCTTCGACGGCCGGTATGACTGCGATCAGCTCGACTGAGAAAGAGGGCGATGCTCCCGGTGAGACTGTGAAGACGGAGGTGTTCCGCTCGGAGGAAAGCCCGACGGCAGCATCGTGACCAAGACCGTCCGCACGACCACGCGCACGGAGACGTCCCCCGCCGGCGAACTTGTGACGACGATCGAGGTGGAGACGATATCGGAGACGCAGACCAAGGGTGGCGCCAAGAGCACGACGGTGGAGACGGAAATCACGACGGAGACTGCCACCGAGATGGCCGCGACGACGTCGAGCCTTGCTTCGACGGCCGGTATGACTGCGATCAGCTCGACTGACACCGACAAGTGGGCCGATAGCTGGTCTGCCTGCGGTGGCAAGCGTCAGTCGCCCATTGACATCGTCACGTCAGCCAAGTCTGGCAAGGGCAGGGCGAACCCGCTCAGCTTCACCGGACGCTGTCCCACGTACAACCTGACTGCGCCCGCCGAGCCTCTGGAGGTCGACGTTGTTGGAGGTAACGACATTGTGACGGACCTGATCATGTGATATGTTGTAGATTCTAACGCGTTTGGTTCTGCTAAAATAGGCAACTGTGCTGTCTCGCTTAACGATGCCTCGTACAACTTGGCCCAATTCCACCTGCACGCTCCCTCGGAGCACACTCTGAACGGCAAGCCTCTGGACGGTGAGATCCACTTCGTGCACGCGTCTGCCGATGGCAAGGCTCTTCTGGTGGTGGGTATCTTCC